ATATCAAAATATATCCCAATGAAATAAAAAACTGCAAAATATCAAAACAACGTAAGCTCCCAATGGGCAATGCCTCAGCTTCTCAACATGAGTTTCTTTTTGTTATGTTTTGTTAAGGACATATACTGTACCTGCACTGAACTGCCTATAGGCATTGCTCTGTGGTACAAATAAATGATTTATACTGTATTATGAGATGATATTTCTAATATATATAGTGTATTCAGATGAAATTCATATGAAAATATAAGAACCTATTTTAAGAACCTTGGTAGCCTAAATATGCTTTAAGTACCATTTATATAAGAACCTATTTAGGCTAAACTGAAAAATTCAGGTTCTTATACGTGGGCTATTACTGTATTGCATAACTGTTAAGGAGCAATTTGATGTACGTTTCATGATAAGCGCACACATATTTAGTCGACAGGGATACAATGTGTTCCAAGCACACAGTATTCTGGGGCTACCTATTATCTTTTACGAGTCCTAGCTATGCTCTCATCTTCCCTGATAATATTTTTCTCTGCAATAGAAATTGGTCCATATTCACTGCATAGAAAGAGGGTGATCTCTGCATTGAAACTAAATAAAAAAATCGTTAGGTTCCAGTACTCGTTTCCGAGGAAAAAACGATGATTTGTCTCTCGCAAGCCAAGCCGTTTAGAAAAAGCCACCATTTTGAATATGTTGTGTATGTGCACGCGCTCGTGAGCGCGCGCTAATGACGCGAAAATCATGCGCAGTAGGGATGCGCAATGCAATTCTGAGGAATCACCTTAAGTATATAAATAGAGCTATCTCGGTCAATTTGCAGCAGAATCCATTGAAACTTGGTAGGCCAATAGCGGAGCTCCGGCGGTCCGAAGGGCCGCCAAGCGGAGCCCCATACTCATATAGGAAAGAAAATAAAACCCATGAGTTGATTTTCTCATGGTTATCATGGCTAGCGGTATTGCTCGTGGGCGCGTACGCACCACGGCGACGACGGAGTCGCGCAACACGCGGCCATTGGCGGCCATACTCCAAATAATAGGTTGACAGAGACATGCAGCCTTGGTTTACTGTGTACTTTTTTGATATTGGACATCCATGTTATGATCAATTGACACCTGTCAAAACAAGGTATCCGCTGACCAGTACCACGGGACCATATCGTGGGCTCAAGTTTACAGCTCATCGAGGTCACGTGTTTTTTTAAGTTGACCGCTGCCAAGTGCTGGTTTTCGATTGGATTGGATAGTGATTTTCAGCTTGAAAAACATTAAACGAGGCCACGAACTCGAGCTAACCTATTTATATGCTTGCTGGATCGTGCATATGAGACACCATTAGCAAATATCAAAATGGATCGCCAAAGGTTGCTGGAAAAGCCTTTAATATTGGGGAGGTCTGGAACTCAGTATGTTGCCATGGTAACAAAACTGTTAAGCTCGTATTGTGGAGCACATATAATAGAGTCTTACGGCAAAGAATCAAATATTTCTGATTGGCTAAGATATCGTTTTTCATCATATTTGATCAAAATTTGGCTGAGAGTATGACGTCATCATTTGGGTAATTTGCATATTTTAAAAACTCGAATATCTCAGGAATGAAAAGAGACATTCGAAAATAGTGAACGGCATTTTTCTTTGCATACAGACTTCTTGTTTATGTTTTAAAATGGCTTAGATAGGAGAGATTTACTATGACGATTTTCGTCATAGTACCACTCTAAATAGGGTATAAAATTTTTGGTCGCGTCATAAATAGGGTAGGGAAAATTACAGAATTTGGTCTTTTCAATAAGGGGTAAGGGTTTTGAGAAACGGGCCGCAAACTCCCCACCCAATTTGTCTGGGAGAATTCCCCCCCCCCCCTCCCCCTCCCCCGGGACGGCAAGCAAAGCGGTGAGTCAAACACTCCATCGACAGCAGGAACAGTTTGGCGATGTTTCTATCATCAAGAATGATACTCAACTGGAAATGGGTACGGAAACACCATAGTCAGTTTCCTGCATTAACGATAAAAGTCTCTAAAATATTTCGGCGGGTTTCAATACTCTTCTATCATTTATTCCACGTGTCACACCTACAAGGAACAAACTTCTTCAGTCTAACTGAGAACTTGCTATGGTTTGGGAAGGGCTCTCGTGTATGAATGGTCAGGTATGAAAATGGCTGCTCTACAATGGAAGGCTGGGGTAAGGAACTTAAACAACGCAAAACATTGCTTGAATCTCTTGCAGCTTTAGTCTTTTGAAAATGCGGTATTGATAGGAATGTTCGAAACCCTTACTTTGTTAGGGACGATGTTTTAAAGGAAGTCTAATTAGTTTAGTATACTCGCCGGCTAAAGTGTTCAACACAGAAAGCCGATAAAACTGATGTTTGACGGTTTTGTTTAGGCGTGCTGCGAGTGCCTTCTATCGTTCGACAGAAAGTATGTGCAGTCAATCAGCAAGCGTGTTTGCCATTAGTCAGTCGCTGGCTTGCGTTGTTAAAGCAAATTACAGCAAGTAGCAGCCCAGTTCATGAAGAGTGTATTTAAAGTGCCCGTTTTCAGCCACGTCTTTTGTAAATGTTGGTTATCATTTGTGTGGCAGTCAGTGATCATGATGGGTGGTACATACCTTTCCTTCTGGCACAGGTATAGCTTCATTGCCATTTTATCTTTTCTCGAACACATCTGTAGATTCTTTGCCTTCGTTCAGCTTCGGATCCATTGGAAGTGATGATTTCAACGGAGGAGCAGATGTCCGCTTTGTAACCTTAGAGGAAAAAACAATGTTTTACAAAGTGCAATCACGGAGCGGAGGAAAAGCGAAACAGCGTGTATGTGATGGAGAGGTTCAAATGGAAGCGCGTTCACCAGTGAGTCAGATCCTCAGAATAAGGGTGTGGGTGTTCCGAGCGAGAGAGGCTGCGGAGCTCCAAAAAGATGGAAACGGGCCGGTGGAACTGAAAGTCGAGTATGGACCGCAAGATTTAGACAAGGTCTGTTTAGGTTAATTTTTCTGTTTCTGTTTTTTTTTTTNTTTTCTTGTATCGTCATTTGAAGTCGTTTTGGTTCTTTCTAAGAGGGCATGAATGGTAAATGAGTCCATCCCCATATGGGCCTTATTCCCAAGGTAATCCCTGCCAAGTTATTTTAAGATAACTCTCGGTTTCGGAAATCCCAGACGGGTCTGGGAATAGCCAATCCCGCAACGCGCGTCGTGACATCCGCAGGAGAACTGGGTACTTAAAATAACTCAGAGAAATTACCTTGGAAATAAGACCTATATAAGGAATTACCTTTCTTTCCCTTTTTCCTCAGTTTGTTCATACGTTTTATTCTATATCACTTCAGTAAGTGGTATATACGGGTCTTTGAAATAACGCGAATAGAGGGACAATATAGTTCAAATTGAAGAAAGATAAACAAAAAAAAAAAAGATTTAAATACTTACAAATTTGACTATCCCAAACAGAGAATGACGGTGCTAAATATTAATTTCCAAGACAGGATATTATTCAGAATCTTGGGAATAAATTAGTGTCGCAGAAATCCAATCTTATAACAAGCCAAGTTCAATCACAAGATCACCTTCATGTTAATTATTTTTCGTTTTGTGTGACGTTTAAACAGCAATTGTTCTCGGTGGACCTTGACTCTGTTTATGACGGCCGCTTCGCTCCAGTGTATGAACTGGCCAAAGTCGAAATGGACAAGAGAAATCTTTTTCAACTTCTTGTTCAGCTCTATTTTCCTGGCAATGGAGCCGAGGAGGAGGTTCAGCAGTTTTTTAGTAAGCCGTTTTTGATGAGAAGCAAGCCCAGGAACAAGAAGAGGAAAATCAATGAGGGTAGGCTGCCAAGTTTATTTATCAGCGGTGGAATGTTAGGAGTTGGTCAAATGTTGTGTTCGGTCGCGTCTCCAAGAACTGATTGAACCCGCGGTATGTAACAGGAGGGCCCTGAACGGGAAGGGAGGGGGGTACCAATCCCATTTTTCAACCCAATTTTTTTCCTAAATCCCATTTCCCAACCTATTTTTCTTCCCAAATCCTAGTGCTATTCGCATTTTGTGCTTGTGATTCCCAGTCCCATTGACCCCAATCCCATTTTCCCAGTGAAAAGAGGCAAATCCTAGTCACTATTTTGCCCCTTTAAAAATTTAAGATTTTACACCAATTCCCTTTGCTGCTCAATCATCACTGTTGAGAGCCGTCGGCTGGTGAAAACGCGCTCTATTGTAGTGAATATCGATAATTCTCCTAGACTTATCGGATTCTGTATACGTAAACAAGATATTTTTTATCAATTTCTTGTATAGAATAAACGCATCAAAATGAACATTTTTACCTAGCTTTTTGTATAGACGAAGCTTTTAGTTCTATACCTTAGCTTTTCTGTTTATTCTTCCTAACATACTGTATGTCATTTATTTCAGTTGGCGGCGAAGGAGAAGAAGGTTAGTTTTTATGATCTTTAAATAGTTTGGTGTGGGAGGCGCAGTGGCCTCATGGTTAGTGCGTCTCGACTCCGGATCGAGTAGTCCGGGTTCGGGCCCTGGCCAAGGATATTGTGTTGTGTTCTTGGGTGAGACACTTAACTCTCACAGTGCTTCTCTTCACCCAGGTGTATAAATGGGTACCGGCGAATTTAATGCTGGGGATAACCCTGCGATGGACTAGCATCCCACCCAGGGGGTAGTAGAAATACTCTTAGTCCCTTCATCTTACAGAGACCGGAGATAAGGGATGGGCGACTTGGCTCGCAAGCGCACTTTAAATAGTTTGGTAAGATGGCGGAGAAGAGGACATATGATCAATTCTTTCAGTGGAAATATAAAGGTCTAAACAATTTTTAAAATCAGTGGTCTAAACAAGTATATGATCTTGTTTTATGAAAGGAAGGGGAGTTCCCTCCACGAAAGATCTGAGTAATTTACATTTATGTATGTTTATATCTACTTTTTTCTTGTTGCTTTTATGACCGAAACCTGATAGCATTAAACACTGTTTATCTTGAAAATGACTAAAAATAAACCTTTTCTCTAATTTTGTAGATTCCACGGACCAGAGCTGTAGTCCGGACAGCTCGATCGGCAACATGACAGGTAGGTTAATAAGTCAATTTCGCTATATTAGTAAAAAAATAAAAATAAAATGCTTCTTTATACGGGGTGACCACATCAGTTACAAAACTGCTGTCAACGTGGGTCCTATCGATGTAAAAAAAAAAAGATGAATAAAAAAAGATAACATGACGCCGTGGTTCAGGGAACTAAAACAAAAGATAACGTTTATTCTTGCCTCAACATCAGTTATTAGATACTTATTATACCAAAGTTTCTAGGTCAACATGGTATTTTATTTAGTCAGCGTGCTTTATTTTTTGATATGATACTTGTTTTATTTATGTTCGTTTTGATCAATTGTATATTTCGATATCATGGGGAAAATTATTTTATTTATTATATCACATTTTATTAGTTAATTGTAGGTCTACATCAGCCGCATTGGCTGTCAATTTTGTAACCTGCACTACTAAAAAAATGATGATGATGATGATGATGTGATTTCTTTTGTTTAAGTCCCCGTAGCCTCGGCGCCAAGTTATAATTTTGATATATCGAAATGGCCTATTCATCTCTACTGTGTGTTGTGTCTTTCAAGATACATCATTTATTTTGAACGAGTTTAGTTCATTATTTTACAACCTGTTATGTCCTTTTAAATATTTCTCCCGAACTTTAAATATATAATGTTTCATAAGTTCACTTGTATATCTTCACCATATATGCGGCTATATTACGAACTCACAACGTGACCAGCTCCCAGTTATCTTAATAGCTCTGTTGGTAGAGCACTGCATCAATATCTCACAGGTTAGGGGTTCGAGTCCCTTTCAAGGGCAAGTGTCCACATTGTGTTCATAACTTTGATTATCTTTCATATAGTGTACATTTCTCCCGTAAATCAACTTCATGTTGTTTATATATTTACTTGCATATCAGGTTTGACTATCTCTTGTATTTCATCCTTAGCATCTGCTGAATTCCAAAACCTCCGCGTCGTTGAGCATCTGGAAGCCAAACGTGCACACATCGAACATCTGTCGTTCGTGGTTTCTAGTGCTGGCGCCAACAAGGCTGATATTGGATATCACTTTAAACTGAAAGATCCTGATGTATGCGAGGACTTTGAAGAAGGAGATATTGTTGGTTTTTACAAAGATGACAATGGGACCGCAAGCATTCAGCTGTTAGATAACAAGAATGGAAAAGAGGCTTTCATGGCAGGTGTCATTAGCCGATCGGCATACCTAGAAGCCACACCGCCCATGGATGAAGATGGTTTGTTTTATTTGTTCGCGCGCATTGTCTCTTTTGAAAAGTTATCTTCTAGAAACAGATCATTTGGTAGAAAAAAGGTGATATTAGTGAAAGACTGGTCCCTAACTTGATCACTCAATCGCGGGCCAAAACAACTAGTATAAGAAATTAGTCTGTTTGAGAAACAATTAGGGATTAATTGTACGCGTGAACAGATTGGACTTTTTAGCACCTCGCCACTAGTGGAGTCCTTGTGCATCCTTCTGGGACATCGTTCTTATTTCTGTTTGTTTTCAACCATGCACTGGTTTTTATCCTCATATTTGGTACGTTTTAGATGCTACAGATGTTGTTTGTGTCATTGGAGTAATCAAAGTGAAGTGCATCGGTTCTGTCCGAGCGGGTGAACGAATTTATGCTACTGTCGACCTAGACAATCCCGGCACAGCCATCCCAGAATCCCACCTGCCACCCAGTGTAGTCCTTGGCAAAACCAGCATACTGTTAGGTATGTCAATGGAGGAAAAGAAGGCATCTAAGCTGGATGATGTCAATTTGGTTCAGTGCTTTGTGTGTATAGTGCTCGGAGTCAACGATAAAGCAATCGCAGCGGAAATAGAGAACATGTACGATCACTTTGAGATGGATCTAGCTGTGAAACTCCGGAGAGAGAGAAAGAAAATGAGAAGACGTGAGTATCATGACGTCCAAGGTGCAGTCTTACCCACCCAACCGGGGAAAGAACCGCACGGGTGCAAAAAGATACTTTACGGCTATATGTAGATTTTTTTCTCAGTTTGTAAATTCTTCCTTAAACTGGATGCATTTTGAATAGAACATGTGAATTGGATTGCTTTGGAGTAGAGCATGTAAATCTAGAAAAGGAATATCAGCGTGGATAAATAGTTCCCATGTAACTTTTAGGAGGTGATTCTGGTCACTGCAAGTCAGTTGATGCCTTGCAAAGTAGTCTGAACGTATGTTCACCCTCAGTGTAACACTTCCGTTGAGAAGATAATGGTATTATAAAATACTTCAGATTTCATTAATTTATTATCAAGTGGGTTTTGCTATATTAAGGTGTAACTGTTTCACTTTTCCTTCGTGAAAACGAAATTTGTCAAGTACACAAAAAGGTAAATGAGAGGTTTAAAGACTGGTTGGTTGGTTGGTTGGTTAGTTTGCTAATTGATTCTTTGATTGATTGACTGGCTGACTGACTACCTGACTGACTGACTGACTGACTGACTGAATGACTGACTGACTGGCTGGCTGACTGACTGACTGACTGACTGACTGTTTGACTGACTGACTAACTGACTGACTGACCGGCTGACTGACTGGCTGACTGGTTGGCTGACTGGCTGACTGACTGACTGACTGACTGGCTGGCTGACTGACTGGCTGACTGACCCTACTGACTGACTGACTGACTGACTGACTGACTAACTGACTGACTGACTGACTGACTGACTGGCTGACTGACTGACTGACTGAAAGATATCTGATTAATTTATTGATTCTTTAATTTTTCTTTTTCCTATGCAGTGTTGTGTTCAACGGCATTTGGTCTCGTTATCATTGTTGGCTTGATCGCGTTCTGTATGTACCAATTCCTCTATCCGGGAACTGCCTTAAGATACTGGATGTGTAAGCGGGGCTCCCTAGCTGGCCACACGTCGTCTTTTAAATTTATTCCTTTAGGCGACACTGCACAGGTATCTTTAATATTTAAGTGGAATTAAAATAAGTAAACGATTGGCCATTATGGGCTAGTAACAATTAACTAATGCTTATGATGGTAAATTAATTAAATTTCTGGTCCCGATCAGAAACTGTCTGAGGTAAAAACGAGGCATAGAAACATGCAGGTGAAAAAGTCAAGGTACTAAACCATTTGGATCTACATAAAAGATCAGCGCAGTTTGTTTCGGAAGGCAGTGTGTATGAGGCATTTGCAGGGATGTAGCTCATGGGTGAATGTCATGCGTGCACCTGGCTTGAAAGTTAATAAAGCTGGTAGGCACACTGATCAAGCAAGAAAAGTAAATTTGCTTCCACTTCACACACAAAGTTTACGTTGTTCAGCTATTAAAATAAACGTTTGGACATCTTTCAAGTTAAAGCGAATCTTTGGTGACAAGAATTGTGTCATAAGCATAGCGCTTCTGTCCATGATGGAGATACAAAGTTACCAACTCTAAATTTGAAAGAGAGGCACGGTTAATTGTCCCAAAAAGATATTTCCGCCCGATGTATCAAGTGAATACCTTTCTTGTGATGCAAAGAAAGTATGGGCTCAGTAGATCTTTATGCCACCCAGTCATTGTGTAGCTTTCGAAAACCAATAATCCTTCAGTATATTGTACACAAAGAGAGAGAGAGAGAGAGAGAGAGAGAGAGAGAGAGAGAGAGAGAGAGAGAGAGAGAGAGAGAGAGAGAGAGAGAGAGAGAGAGAGAGAG